CACCCTCATCACTAGCTAGTATAGGTTGCAGAGAAAGAATTGCAAATGTGTATTCAGGAGCCTGTGTTTCAGACATTTCTATACTTTGGTCGTCCTATATTTAAAATAGAGATCAGAACAGTGACCTGTTGGTGAAGAACACTTGGCCCCTTGATAGAGGAATGTATAGCTGGACATGCACTGTGGCCTCTTCCTTTGAAGCAGACTTCTTGAGGTTTGTTAACCGAGGCTCCAAGGTCTGTCTCTGCTCCCCTGTGGAGCGTCATGAATACTACAAGGTCCTTCCTTCCCTGCTGACAAGGCAGTTCTCAGAGGGCATCTTAGGAAGCCCTTAATCTTGATGTGGTAAGAAGCTTAGATGTATGGAGGTCCCGTAACTTCTGCTCAGTGACAACTTTTTGTATGAATGCAGACTTCAGTTAAAGGCAAAAGCTGCATTTTAAAAATCTGGCTTGGTAAATTTTTGTTCCCACAATTTGGTGTGGTCTTAGCCAAATCAGGACCAAAAAGAATAGCAGAGGTAGACCAAGTGCACTCCCCGGTAAAGCCTCTGGTGTCCACTCTCACATCTTCTCCTGACACTCCCCATGTGCCAGCTCGTGCTATGGGCAAATTCTGGTTCTCACAAGGCATGCAAATGACCATCCATGTATGTATGCACACATGTGATTATTGTGTCTGTGTCTGGGGAGGTGAGATAGTACCCAACCAATTACATTTTTCTTTGGTTAAAAACTCATTTATGAATCTGGCTGTTTTGAAAACGTTTATTCAAAATTTGGATGTTTTGCATGAAATACTTTTTTACATTTTAAGAGATAAAACTCTAACACTGAAATATTTTAAAAATTTTAAAGAGTATAATCTTGGGGGTGCCTGGATGGCTCAGTTAAGCGTCCCACTCTTGATTTCTGCTCAGGCCATGATCTCAGGGTCCTGAGATTGAGACCTGTCTCTGGCTCTAATTCTCTCTCTCTCAAAAAAAAAAAAGGTAATCTTGTTTTTTCCTATGGCAGTGTGGTCACTACCTATGGTAGGCAGCATAGTGCCCCACCTCCCCCACCAGTGTCCATGTCCCAATCCCTGGAACCACGAATCTGTTATTTCACATGTCAAAATGGACTTGTGGATGTGGTCATGTTAAGGATCCTGAGTGCGGAGATAATCTTAGATTGCACAGGCAGGCCCAATACAATCCTTTTATGTGAAAGGGGGAGAATAAGAGTCAGACAAGGTGTGGCAACGGTTGTGGTTGAGTAGTGGTTGAGGTGATGTGATGGGCCAAAGATTATGGCCAACCTTAAGAAGCTGGAAAAGGCATGGAAGGTATGTCCGGCAGCCCCCAGAAAGAACGTTGCTTTAACCTCTTGATTTTAGGCCTGTGAGATGAATTTTCAGCTTCTGACCTCCAGAACAGTAAGATAGTTAAGTCTTTGTTTTAGGCCACTTAACTTGCCGTAATTTGTTACAGCAGCAATAAGAAATACACTACCAAGTGCAAAATTAGGAATTTGCAGCATGGCAAATTTGATTCCATGCAAGAATTTGAATTTCTCCTCTAAAACTCAGTAGTTAATATATATATGAAACTTTACATTTTAGTGTTACAATTGGTTGTAGCAAGACCCAGATAATCTGGGAATATGTTGCTCTAAAGATTCCTCACTTCAACATTTGGCATAAAATTTACAGTAAACGGCAATATCTAACCCACTTTCTGATAGTAATTGATTCATTTGATTATAACTTATTTTTTAACACTATTGTTACTTGACATTCTTCATTTTTGAAAATCTAAGTATCTATAGTATTGAAGTAGTGGGTATTTGCATTTATCGGAAGACCTGAGAAATTAAAGTTCTGCACTAGGACCGTTAAAAAAAAGTAATACACAGGGGATTTTTGACCCACAAATGACGATGATCTTAAAAGCTTGTATTTGTATTACTGCTTCCTTAGTAAATTATTTTCTTTTAAAGAATCCTTCTGGAAGAAAATTGAAGGGTTTGACTGGCACTAGATTTTGACCAATTTGGAGAACCGGGAAGGAGTATGTGGAAGCAGTGCCTACACTGTTCAAGGATGTGGAGTGCTGGGGGGGTGAGCACAAAGCAGGTGTGGAGGTGGAAATGATGGCCAGAGTGGTTTCTTACATTAAGCAAATACAAAGACTGAAAAATAAGAAAATAGAATAATGAAACTTGGGTTTTTATTGCTGGAGAACTTATTTATAAACACAAAAAGAGAAGATTCCAAAAATCCTGATGTGTTGGATTGGAATCAAAAGTAAGGATTCATTTTCCTAAAAAATATAAATACAAGTATAGGCAATTATAGATGTGTATGTATATATAAGCAAATATACATACATTTCCTTCCAACTGAGAAGATCTCGAAACAATGATACCCTAGTAGCAATAAGCACACCACACACTTCAATCTTGATTATTTTTTTTCAAAGATTTTATTTATTTGTCGGCTGGGAGCAGGGAGGGGGAAGATAGTGCAAGTGAGCACGTGCACAAGCAGGGGGAGCCGAAGGCAGAGGGAGAAATACACTCTCTGATGAGGAAGAAGCCCGATGTGGGATTTGATCCTAGGACCCACGGATCATGACCTGAGCTGAAGACAGACGCTACCCAGGCATCCCTCAAATCTTGATTTCTAAATACCATCCTCCACTAAGAAGAAACAAAGCTCCTTGGAGAAATGGCTAGGCAAGGAAGGGACCAAAGAATGACAGGATGACAGGGACATGTCAGAAAGACTCAAGAGCCAGCTAAATGTGGCTCTCTGCCCATCAAAATAACAATGACAGCAATAGGGTATGACCACTGAATAAGAGAGAAATCCATGTGTCCATACTGATATAAATAAATAAAAAACAAACAAAAGGGAATTCTCTTCCTTATAGAATGCCAACTAAGAAATGTGAGATGCAATGGAAATTTTAAAAAGCACTATTTGGGGGGCATCTGGCTGGCTCAGTGGTAAAGCAGGTGACTCTTGATCTCAGGGTTGTGAGTTCAAGCTCCACACTGAGTGTAGAGCTTACTTTAAAAATAGAGTTAAAAAAATAAAAAGCATTCTTTGGCAATGACTGTAGTGATCCAGGCAAGTCACTGATAGAACTTCATGTCTTCAGGCAAAGGGTGATAAAGAATAAAATAAGGGTGGAATTTTGGAATATCTCCCTACAAAATACTAATCAATTTACAAATGAAAAAAAAGGAGAAACCTAGCAGACATCTACATGACTAGGTAATCAAGATGACAAGATGAATATCACCCGTGATAAGATGTGTTATGGCACAGCACCATTCCTGAGGTATTCCTACCAATAAACATGGCCTGCATTTGGTCCTCAGGAAACATCCACAGACTCGGAGACATCTCATATGCATAAGTCTGTGGTCTTTAATAAAAATTATTAGGGACAAGAAGGACGGAAGACCTGTCCCAGCATGAAAGAGACTGCACATATGATCATGGATGGGACCCTGAAGCAGAAAGGAAAAAAGAACACTGACAGTTGGCAAAGTCCAATGGAGTCTGTGGACTGGACCTTAATATCACTTGGATACTGATTGCCTCATATGGATGGTTACAGACTGGGTTACATAGGAGTGTCTGCTTTGGGGAAATATACATGCAAACATTTCAAGTGATGGAGGATCATGTCTATAGCACATTCTCAAATGGTTCAAAAAAGACTAAGGAAAATGGGTATGTACATGTACGAACACACACACATGCACGATTCTCGTTATTTGTGAACTTGCCTATCTGCTAAATTTATTTGTAACTCCAAAATCAATACTTGCGGTACTTCAGCAATTATTGGCCAGCATGTGCTGAGTGGCAAAAAACTTGAGTTGCCTGAGAAACACACCTCCAGTCAGCGTGGGACAAGATGACACCCGCCTTTCTTGTTCCAGCACTGACACGGTAAATAAGCTTCTGTTCCGTTGCCTATTTAGTGTTACGGTCTTCACATTTTAGGGCTTTCTGGTGGCAATCTTGCAGTTTCAAGTGGCCCTTAAGCTGGTGCTTAAGGGCTGTCCAGTTTCCTAAGTACCAGGGCTGCGATGCACCTTACAGAGAAGAGCCGCAGACAGGCTGGGTTCGGGCATGACTTACATACAGCACTGCTGGCCGGGAGTTCAATGTGAACAAATTTACAACACATCAGTGCAAGTTGTCTTTAAACAGAAACACACATAAAACAAGGTTAGGGGGTGATGGCTGGGCGTGACCAGAGGCTTCCAGGGAACCTGACCAGGTACCCCCAGGGCATCCGCTCATTCAGTTCGCTGAGACTTCACACAGTAACCCGCTGGGAGACAGAAAACCACCACGTACATTTGGGCGGGGGGCGGGAGGGCGCAATGGAACCGGTAAGGAAATACGGTAAAGTGACCCCATGAGAGGACTGCGGTGGGTCCCAGTGAAGATATGCAGAAAGGGGACACAGTGAGGAGAGGCACGGAGGGGACACAGTGAAAGGATGCGGCGGGGGGGGTGCCCAGTGGAGGGAAATGGTGAGGGGGGCCGATGAAGGGACATGGTGAGGGGATGCGGGGAGGGGTGGTGGGAAGGGGATGCGAGGAGAGAACACCGTGAGGGGACGTGGGAAGCGGAACCAGTGAGGTGATGCGGGGATGGTCCCACTGACGGGACCTGCTAAGGGGACCTCTGTGAAGGGACCCACTGAGGGGACCGCGGTGAGAGAACCGCAGTGAGAGGACCCGGTGAGGGCACCGCGGTGACGCGACCGCGGTGAGAAGACCCGCTAAGGGGACCGCAGTGAGAGGACCCGGTGAGGGGACCGCGGTGAGAGGACCCGGTGAGGAAGCCGCGGTGAGGAAACCCGTGAAGGGACCGCGGTAGCCCCCGGGTAGCCCACTAGGCAAGAACAGGCAAGCTCTCCATCGAGAGCTTTCCCAGGGTCAAGGTCCCTACCCCACTCGGGGCGCCGCACGGCTGTGCCGGCTGCGTACCTCGCGGTGTCCCCTCTGCGGCGCGGGCTGTGGCTCCCTCCGCGCGCTGATCCCCGTACGACCGACCCTTCCGCATGTCTGCCGGGGGCCTCAGCTTCGCCACCGTGACTCAGCTTTCCCGCGCCGCGCAGTCTGCCAAGAGCGCCTGCGCGGAGCCACCTCACCGTGACTCAGCGGCTCCGAGAAGCGGCCGGACTGTTCGAGAAGGGAGGCGGTGGAGCTAGGAGTGGCGGGTCCACGGAGCCGCGGAAGGTCGGGATTGGCCGGCCGGGTCGTGACGTCATCGGAGCGCGCCGGGAACGCCGAGCCTCCGCGGGGCGGGATTGGCCGGCCGTGTGGTGACGTTATCGGGGCGCGCCGGGCAGGTACGGGCCGCGGAGTCTCTCTGAGCCCTAGGAAGCGAATAAATGGCCGGAGCTTCGGCGGTATGCGATGCTTCGCACTCCCGCGGGCTCGGACGGCGGGGCGCCGCGCGTCGGGTCCCATTTTCCCCGGCTTTTTGGACTTGTCCCCTGCGGCTGGCCGCTGGAAGGGACATCCATCTTCCCGTCTCCGCCGCCTCCTGCTCGCCTCCGCAGCCACCCGGGCGCCCGACTAGAGCCAGGTCCGGGGACGGGAGCGGGGCCCCGGGTCGCACGGCGGGGAGGGCTCCAGGTGCCAGCCGAATGAGTCCACGGCTGGGGGCTGGGCCCGATGAGACAGCGACGCGCTCACCTGCCGCGGGCTTGCGCTGCGGGGCGCGGGCAGTGGAGACGTCGTGCGCGCTCGGGACCGGAGTGGGTGGGTGCTGGGACGGGAGTCACAGTGTTCTCTGAGGGTGTGGAGAAGCCGTGACGGTCGGGGCAAAGGCCCCTTTGGAGGAGTGACTGAACCACGATCCGAGGGGAGGAGCGGGGGGGTGGGGAGACTGGGGACAGCACGGCAGATGCTCCCCGGAGTGGACCCTCCAGACCTGACTTCTGGGGGTGGGGAACTGGGGACAGCGCGGTAGACGCTACCCGGAGTGGACCCTCCGGACCTGACTTCTGGCGGGGGAGGGGGAGCTGGGGATAGCACGGTGTACGCTGCCCGGAGTGGTTCATGCGGACCTGACTTCTAGGAGGGGTTCTTGAGAGGGTTGTGGGTGCTAGGTCCTGGAAGGGATCTCATGAGGCCTGTTAACGGACTCCAGTTCCCTCTGGAGCGCAGTAGCTTACCCTTCGTCCACCTGGTTTCCACGTGAGTTAAGCGCTTGCTCTTCTTCCTCATCAACTCCGGGTTGTCATTAGGGAGCAAGTTCTGAGTAAACCTCAATGCATGAGGGAGTAGAGAACAGCAGGGACAGAGCTGAAGCTCTTCTAATTCCCGTGATTTGGCGCCTGGCAACGGTTTTGTGTGTGTCAACAAGTATACTCACTCCATGAAACTGTGGCCCAACTTTTGGCCGGCCTTTGTGTAAGTTGAATATGGAAAACCCCTGTCAGCGTGAGTCAGAACAGTTTAAAGGAAACCTGAATTCCAGGTGAGATTCTTCAAGTAGGAAATTAAAAGACCCAAGAAACAGTGGCTGTCCTAATAGGGTGGATTCTGAAGGAGCTGATACTTGTACTCAAACTTCTTTTTACCTTTGCTGAAAAGCAGCAAGAATTTGTGATGCTTTAGTGCCCTGTGGGGGCCCAGGATGACTTGGGCATTGAATGCTTCCCACAGAGCATGTTTATTTTCTTAGCCCTAAGTTATGAACTCTGGGGACTGAAATGATGGCCATCTTTCCTTACCTAACTGTTTTAATTCTTGTAGGTGATCCATCTCTCTGTCATCTGTGTTTGGACACTTCCAAATAATGGAGTTCCCTGATTTGGGGAAGCATTGTTCAGAAAAAACTTGCAAACAGCTAGGTAAGCACTATTAAGAGAATGTTGATAGACAATGTGTGTTTTGTTGGCTGTTTAGTCGGGAAGAACATACTGTTTTATTAGCTATTCTCTGGGTCTTGGCTCTGGTGGCTTTTCAATATTGAGAGGCTGGCCTGAGGTTCGGGTTCTGTTCAACATTGTTACTCAGCGTCTGCTGAAGGCCAGGTGCCAGGGCCAAGTGGATACAAGTGTGCTGCTTATATATTTGTGATTATTACATGGGATGGGTCTCTTTTGAGAAGATAGCTTTATAGGGGCACCTGGGTGGCTCGGTCAGTTAAGCATCCAACTCTTGGTTTTTGGCCCAGGTTGGTGAGAAGGAGCCTGGAGTTGGGCTCCCGAGCTCAGTGGGGAGCCTGCTTAAGTTTCTCTTTGTGCCCTCCCCCTACCCCCTGCGGCCTCTCTCTAAAAGAAAGAAATTAAATTTAAAAAAAAAGAAAAGATAGCTTTATAAGTTCTTCAGTTTTGCTGGCATTGTGAAACTTATGATCCCTGATGTTTTTCTCACGTGTTTGTCTCCTCAAGGATGTATTTGGTAGGCATAAAGAAATAGGTAAATTAGAAACAGGTAAATACCTGTTTAATGTGCTCTAGAATATTTTTGTCCTGATCTTTAAAATGGTTTTTTGTTTTGTTTTGTTTTAGATTTTCTTCCCTTAAAATGTGATGCATGTAAACAAGATTTCTGTAAAGCCCATTTTACTTGTGCTGCACATAAATGTCCCTTTGCATTCACGAAGGTAATTTATCATACTTTATTCCAAGGAGTCTTGTTTTTCATTGTCTAAAGCTGTGCTGTCCAAGTAGTAGACATTAGCCACATATAGCAAGTAATTTCATTCAAATGAAGTGAGATTTAAAATCCAGTTTCTCAGTCACATAAGCTACATTTCAGTTGTTCAGCAACCGTATGTGGCCAGTGACCTACTGTGTTGGACAGTGCAGATGTGGCGCGTTTCCACCATCATGGGGAGTTCTAGACGGCACAGCTCTAAATCAGCAGGTTTCATTTTTAGGGGCTCTTGAAGTCAGATTGTATCTAAACCTTCAAAGCTTGCTTTGCATGTTAAAATATTCTGTTCTTTTGATTCATTTTGCTGAGAATAAAACAGGAGTATATTTGTGAAGTGCAAGAAATACTTGACAAGGTATCGAATCTGGGAGGTATTAAAAATGCTTATCTGGGGGTGCCTAGGTGGCTCAGTGGGTTAAAGCCTCTGCCTTCAGCTCAGGTCATGATCCTGGGGTCCTGGGATCGAGCCCCGCATCGGGCTCTCTGCTTAGCAGGGAACCTGCTTCCCCCCCCCCCTGCCCACCTCTCTGCCTCCTTGTGATCTCTGTCTGCCAAATAAATACATAAAATCTTTTTTTTTAAAAATGCTTATCTGGGGGGGCGCCTGGGTGGCTCAGTGGGTTGAAGCCTCTGCCTTCGGCTCCAGTCATGATCCCAGGGTCCTGGGATCGAGCTCCATATTGGGCTCTCTGCTCAGCAGGGAGCCTGCTTCCTCCTCTCTCTCTCTGCCTGCCTCTCTGCCTACTTGTGATCTCTGTCTGTCAAATAAATAAATAAACAAAATCTTAAAAAAAAATGCTTATCTGGGTAACTTTGCAGTCTTGGGAATCTTTTTAGTGGCAAATAGTACCTGGTAGAAACGGGAATATGAACAGGACTCTAAGAAAATCTACCTGTGTGAGTCCAGCAGATGTGTGATCCCTCTGTTACTGACTTTGCACGTGGCCCCCAGCCTATATTCATTTTGTTTCTGGTGGTTCAGAGGTTATTTTAGTGACTTCTTTGGGTCTGTACTGCTGCTTCCCTAGTGGCAGTTAGAAACACGAATGACTTAGCATTATTACGTGCTTTCATTAGTGTTGGCCAAGGTCTGACCCTACAGCATTTTCTAGGTTATCATGAGGGTGTGGGGGAGGGTGACTCATATTTACCAGGCCTCGATGACTAGGCCACACAACCCAGTTTATTTGTTGGCTGTGACCTCCCCATGTCTCTAGATAGGGAGAGTCTGGCTAGAGATCATTAATGCTTTATTTCTCAATTTGGCAGACTTGTCACCTGACTTCTGGGTGACCCTTCAGCTCAGCCCTACAGACAGTAGGTCCCATTAATTCTGTGATTATCTGTTTGGATGTCAGTTGTCACCTCTGTTTTCTTGCTGAGCTAAGTTTCTTTAGCTCCTGCCTTGGCTCTGAGGTTTTTAACTGCTGGGCATGCAGCCACTGGGTGCCTTTTTCTTCCCTCCAGAGCTACACAGTCTTGGGCTTGGCTGGTCATTATGTACCTGAGAGCTCAGCCTAGCCCTGTGTTCCCTTGTCAGGTGAGTGAGTCTCCCTGCGTGTGAGAGCCACAAAAGGATTAGATAGGCTGTTGGCAATTGAAGGGAACCAGAGGGTCTTTATGGCTAGTGTTTTCTTTTTCTCCATTCTGAGGGCTTCGGGCCGCTTCACCACTCACTGAGATGATGCTGGACAGAGCCAGGCTGCCCTGAGACCAGATCAGTTTCACCAGCTTCTCTCCTTGGCTGCCTTTTACTCATTGTTTCAGGGTCATTTCCACAGTTAGGTAATCGTCTGTCATGTTTAAATTCCACTGGATAAGACCTTTGGCGGCTCTATCCTGAATCTTTAGGGTTGCCTTACTGTAAATCCTTTGTGTTAACTGTATCCCCTTCTAATGAGTAGTCGAAAGATCAGTGTGTGTACCCTATGTGATTTTCAGTGCGCTGTGCTGTTGTACGTTTTTCTTTCGTGAGTTTTGATTGTCTGAATCTGGAATATTCTCTTATATCATTATTTTTAGGATGTTCAGGTCCCAGTGTGCCCACTTTGTAACAACCCAGTCCCAGTAAAAAAGGGAGAGATACCAGATGTGGTGGTTGGTGAGCACATTGATCGAGACTGTAATTGTCATCCTGGGAAGAAAGAGAAGGTAAGGACGAATTATGTCCACTCTGTGACTGTTGGTTTTCCCTAGCGGGGGAAGATCGATTATCTAATTGTGGTCTGTAGTACTCATCATTTGTGTACAAAATAAAATCTTCGTGACATGTCAGTGATTCCCCATGTTGTCATGGCTTGGGTTCTTACGGTTATATGACCATACTCTGAATATCCGAATCTACTTTGGGATTTGTTTCCCTTATAGGATTCTTACCTTTTTCTCTCAAGATGGAGCGTTGAGGTGTTTCTAGAATCATTCTGCTAATGTGTACTTTTCCTAAGTTCCTTCTAGGAAAACGTAAAAGGATACGTAGAATTTGAACATTCAGTGTTCTTGCTTTTGTAGTGTTAGTATCTGAGTGAAAGCTCTCCATTTGTTCATTTGGAGTAAATCATGTTAGGAAACACAGTAGGCCCTATTCTCCACAGCAGGTGCTTTCAACTTGTTTGTTGGCTCCGACTCCTCCTGAAATACAATGAAAATGACAGGAAGCAGATTTTTTTTGCTCGTCTTTTTTTGTTTGGGGTACTTCCTTTTTCTCCAAGTGTGTGTCTTGTTGTCTTTTAAGTTTGTCTTGTTCCGTATAGTTTTGGGCATTGCCTGTTGACCACAGTGTGGGCTGAGCATGGAGTTCCCTCCCCCTGTTCCCACGTGGTCAGGTCTCTTGCCACTCCTTCCCTCCCAGCAGACGTGGTGTGTGCTCCTGGACCAGTGTCCCAGTTCTCCATAGGTGAGAGATTCCCCCTCCATTTCTCTTATGCTAGATCCTAGTTTCCTGCATCTATCTCCCTTACGAGGGCTCTCTGATCTCCTGTCTTGTGTTTTTCTTTCTTAGTTTTCCCCTTATTTGGGGAGAGGCATATGTTCCACGTGCGAAGGACCATGGAAGATAAATGGGAGGTTGTGTATATCACAGGGTCTTTGTTCTCCGTTCTTCCTTGCTCAGCTGCCGGAGGGTAGCAGCCTGGCTTTAGAATCTTTGAATATTTGTGGGCGCTGGTTTGTTTTCTCGCTGGGAATTTCCTAGCTGTTCTCCGTTGGGCCTTTGTGGGACCAGTTTTCTGTCTGGCAGCCTGGAGGCTCTCTCCCTACCCCACCCCTCCTCTCCTCTGCCCCATCCCCGAGTTTGGAAACTTCACCCTGACTGTTCCTTGTGTGGATCCATTCTCATCTGCCGTCCTCTGTAGACAGTGGACCCTTCCGAACTGGAAGCTCGAGTGTTTCCATCTGGAATGCTATCTTGGATTCTTTGATTTCCTCTAGACTCCTGTCCCTTGGGTGCTGGGCCTCTTGCATAGGTCTCCTTATTTCCTCTGTAAGTTTCCTTTCCCTGTGAATTCTGCGTCCGGGGTGTTTCTTGTGTGTCCCAGTGAATGTGCTCCTCACGAGCTGGGCTGAAGCCGAGTGCTTATTTGCATGGTGGGGGCAGCTTGGACTCTCGCCTTTGCTGTGGGTCATCTGCCTGGTCCACCTTCTGTGCTCTGTGATTTCAGGTCTTTCTCTTGGGCTAATCAGATTCCCCACAGAAGGCATTCTTTTCCCTGCCTGGAGAGCGTGCTGTGGCTTCCGGAATTGTGGAGCTAGGCAGAGAGAGCTCTCGCATCTCCTCCGCAGGGAGCGTGAAGTCCTTACTGCCTTCTGAGTGCTCATCCCGTGTTTCTCTTGCTCCCCCTGCCCATTGCTGGCCCTCCCAGGCCAGCAGCCTCTCTCAGACCCTCAGCCAAGCGTGCGTCTGCTGCTGGGCTCAGGTGCAGCACTGCAGGTCTGTTTTCAGACACGCTGCCACTCCTGTGGTGGTCCCATGGCACCCTGAGCGGCTGCTACAGCCGGTTTCAGAGATGTTGGGAGTTTTGTTTATGAATAGGGGTGTTGCTTGACCTTCCCCACCAGCTTACAGTTTGACTTTCTTGTATCTGCCAGGTTCATTATAACTTGAGTGCTTTTTTCCCCTAAAATCTTGTAACTGTTTTTTTTTTTTCCTCCTTATCTTGGTCCTTGTGGGTTTATCCCTTTTCAGAAAACCCGCTTCTTGTCATTTTCATTGTATTTCAGGAGTCAGAGCCAGTATACGTGTTCAGTTCTCCTTCCTTAACCAGAAGTCCAAGGATCCTCAAACTGAACTTGCCCTTGGTTGACAGCACGTAATGTGTGCCCTCTCCCCTCAGACTGCAGATTCTCAGATGCTCAGGCCTTCCTGGGGTTTGGTCTCAGCCAGCTCTATGGCTTGCCCTTCCCAAAGGCCCTACCAGGTTACTCAGGTTGTTTTTGCGAGATGCCCAGCTTCTTATTCCTTCTCCCTTCTTTCTTGTTGCTCTCCAAAATAGCATATGGGCTTTCAAGGAGCTCGAGACTTCAGGAAATGGGCATTTGTCAGGCTTAAATCTCAGTTTCCAGTTATGAATCCTGGTTTATAGTTATGAACTACCTGGTTATGTTACATTATTTAACGTAATAAGCAGAAGTTTTGTTAACCCCTGCTTGCTGTTTTCAGCCTCCAACATGACAGAATAAGCTCTGTATGCCTTAGCCTAGCACCCAAAACCTTTTACTCACCAGCAAACCCCAGTCCCCCTCCATAACCCCATTCTCGCTGTGAGTCCTTAGGGCTTTGCCTTCCAATCATTCTGGAACTTCTAAAACCTGCCTGCCTCTATAAAAGACCACATCTGCACTTGGCATGCTTTCCTCCTAAACTGACAGGGTCAGTTGACAGGGTCTTCCTTGTTCTTGGCTCACCCCAGATTCGGGACCCAGGTCCATCCCCTGTCCCCACCCCTGCATGCCTGCGCTGTGTGCACATGCTCCAGTCGCTCAAGGCAGCCCATGCCTACCCATCTTTGCTGGAGAGCTGCCCTTGGGCTTCTAGATGGGTACTTTTTGGCCAGCACCCTTGCTTTACAGAGTCGGCAGTGCCTGGGAATTTATATCACTCCTTCACCCCATCCCTACTGCCTCCTGCAAAAAAAAACCCCGAACCCCAAAAATATAACGGGTATAGAGACTACAGATTCTTCAGCTCCATGGAATGTCTCCAGAGCCCCTGGAACCAGCTGCCTTCTGTATAAATGGCATGATTCCACAGTCTTGGCCACCTTCTCTTTGTGTCCCTGGTCCCCACTCCTGTGGAGGGTTTTTTTGTGTGTGTGGTGTTTTGTTTAGTTTGGTTTGGTTTGGCCTGAGAACACCTCCAGTTGTCCCACATGAATCCCCAACTTAAGATGCTGCTTTTGTGTTTGTTAAAACTCTGCCATCCCCTGGGGCGCCTGGGTGGCTCAGTGGTTAAAGCCTCTGCCTTCGGCTCAGGTCATGATCTCAGGGTCCTGGGATCGAGTCCCACATCGGGCTCTCTGCTCAGCAGGGAGCCTGCCTCCTCCTCCTGTCTCTCTCTGCCTGCCTCTCTGCCTACTTGTGATCTGTCTGTCAAATAAATAAAACAAAAACAAAAACAAAAAAAAACAAACTTTGCCATCCCCTTAGTACTCACCTGTTTGAATGAAATCTTGACCTCTTCATTCCTTGTAGCTAAGAACCATTTCTCGTTTAAATGTTCGTAGTCTTATTGGGGCTTGTTAAATAATTGCTTATTGAAGCAATTCTTGCTTTCTCAGATTTTTACGTTCCGGTGCTCAAAAGAGGGGTGCAGGAAGAAAGAGATGATGCAGGTGGCTTGTGACCAGTGCCACAGGAGTTTCTGTATTCAGCATAGACACCCTCTGGATCACAGCTGCAAGCACGGGGGCCGCCCCATCGGCGCAGCCGGGTGAGAAGCGAGGCTGCCTGTGATGTGCTGGCTCATGTACAGGGACACCCATGGGACTGCCTGAACCCCGTGGTGGGGATAGGGCGACTCTGAACATTTACCGAACTAAGTTGTTGAGGTGGAAGATTTGTTGTAGGAGTTTGGATGAATATAATCTAAATTAAAATTGGATTTTAAATTAAAGTTGGATTTTAGTTGTGTTTTTTCCTGTGGTTGCCAAAACAAAGCACCTTCATCAGCAGTTCAGTCTCCCTGCTCTTGGAGGCACAAGTCTGAGACAGACGTGTGGCGGGGCGGGCTCCTCCTGGAGGCTCTGGGGTAAGCCGGTTCCAGGCTGCACCCAAGCTACAAGTACTTTGCTGGCATTCCTTGGCATACTTGGGCTGTGGGCATCTCTCCCCCCAACCTGTGTGTCCATCACTTAAGTTTTCCTTGTGTGTCTATGTCCAGATGTCCCCATTTTATGAGGACATGGTCATACTGGATTAGGGTCCCGCCCTTCTCCAATCTGAGCACATTTCAGCTAATTACACCTGTGATGACCTTACTTCTAAATGTCACATTCTGAGGTCTTGAGTGTTTAAGACTGTGAGGCTATCACTTTGCTGGGGACATAATTCAACCCGTTCACGGAACAGAGCGCCTTTCTCAAGTCCGTGAAAACGTTTGCCTGAACTGGCCGTAGAATGCTAAAGTTTACCTTTTCGTTCCTGGTAGTTTCTCAGGTCGCCGCGCGCGTGCAGCTCTCCAGGTGAGCGATGAAGGGGTCGATGACTGTTGGTTTGACCTTTCTATATAGGTGCGCAGCTGCCCGAACCTCTGAATCCAAGCCGTCGGGAGCGTTAAACGCACTGTCCGCCAGTTGGCTGGCTCGGCGACTCAGGTATGGGCCTGGACGGCATGCACAAGGGCAGGTGCTTTGTATGGGGGCTGTGGTTCTTGTCTGAGTGACCAGTACTGCAGAGTCCTTGTACTGTTAACTGACCGGTTAAAATGATGTGCTCGTCCGTCGGCTCAGTGTAAGGAAGCCTGAGAGATCTGGATATGAGTCTTCTCAGGCCCCGACTTACCAGCGCAGTTCATTCCGGCACAGACCGTATCTAGCAGTAACAGGTCTACGGCTGGTTGCCGAACTACCTTCTTTAGCCTAGTGCTTTTGTGTGATCAGTTGCTCCTGGCTAATCAAGACAGACCTAAAAAAATAAGCTGTTCTTCTGTTCTCTTTCAGGTGGAAAGTAAAGAGGTGATGGGACTGTGTCAGCCCACAGTGGCATGGTGGCTTGTGTGTATCACTGTAGCAGGGCAGGTAGTGTTGGCGCTGTGGTGGCTCTGTATTCTCCTCGCAGGCAGCGTGGGATGCCATTAAAACTTTCCAGTAAAATGTACGTGTTTTGGAAGAATAAACAGAAGGATTTCGATATTCTAAGTTAGGCTAAAGCTACTCCATCAACCTGCTTCCTCCACATAAAATGACATAAAAGTTGATCTGGCGCACTTGGATCCTTCAGAGGGAGGCTCTGCCCTGGCCTGAGTCCCTCAAGAACAACCCAGCGTTCTGGAAGCCTCTGTCACTTACACAACCACACAGCTGATTTATTCTGTCTTCATCTTGTGGCTGAGGTACCTGAGCCCACGAAAGGTCGGGGAGGCCGTGGGCCTACTGTGTTAAGGTCCTTGTTCAGAGGTGGCCCCAACACACAGTCCCTGTTCCACTGAGCAAACAGCTCTGTGGCCATACAGACTCAAGGGCTGGGCTTACACTGACAGCCTCAGTCCATGAAGGATCCACATGTCCTGCGACCCTGGGCACTGGGAAACTGAAGCAAGATGTCCTTTGATTTGGGTTCTGATCTTAACCCACTGGTCATCCACCTAAACATCCAGATCTCCCCTTGCTCCTGTCCAGGCGATGACTTCTGCTTTCAGAGCCTCAAAATGCAAAGCGGGGAGAGGCTTCTGTTCAGTTTCCATTCCAAAAATAGGTGATCAGAACTATTTCTGTGGGCTTAGTTGGTGGTGCGTGTTCTGGATCAGTGGTTCTCACACTTCCCAGGCTCATAATTGTGTGGAAGGCTCCTCTGAAGTGTGTTGGTCCCCACTCCCAGAGTCTTCTGGTTCTGTGGGGCTGGTGGGCCTTGAAAATTTGCACTTCTAGCAGTTCCCAGCTGATGCTGCCAGTCTGGGGACCCCACTTGGACAAATAACTTCTCTACCTGTGCTGCCCAGTACATGGTCACTAGCCACAGTTTATGGAGCATGGGAAATGCATTCGGCCCAACTGGGGTTGAATTTTTAGTTGCATTTAACTTAAAGGCAATTAACTTGATGTGCTTTTTAGAAAACTCTTCAGTATGTTAACTATGGTATGTGAGTCTTCTTTCATCTATAAATTTTAAATACAGGTCAGCCCTTTCTCATGAAAACATAATACCCAAATTGAGAATCAAAAACCCTGAGCTTTGAAGACAAAACCAAAAGAAGTATGTGATTGTTGAAGTTATTATTTACATGTCGAAATGCTAATATTTTGGGTATGATGGATTAAATAAAGCAATAAAGTTAATCTTACCTGTTCTTGTTTTAACTGTGGCTACTAGAAACTTTAGAAACAGGTACGTGGCTGGCATTATTTTTCTTTTTTTTTTTTTCTTAAGATTCTATTTATTTATTTGACAGATCACAAGTAGGCAGCAAGGCAGAGAGGGAAGCAGGCTCCCTGCAGAGCAGAGAGCCTGATGCGGGGCTCGATACCAGGACCCTGAGATCATGACCTGAGCTGAAGGCAGAGGCTTAACCCACTGAGCCACCCAGGTGCCCCCCATTTCTTTTTTTTTAAACAGTTTCAGGGTTTTTTTTGTTTTGCTTGAGAGACAAAGAGTGAGCACAAGCATGAAGAGCAGCAGAGGGAGAAGCAGCCTGATTCTCTGCTGAGCAGGGAGCCCAAAGCAGGGCTTGATCCCAGGACCTTGGGATCATGACCTGAGCGGAAGGCAGACACTTAACCAACTGAACCACCCAGGTGCCCTCCAGCATGTTACATTTTTTTAGTGTTAGAAGTTTGCATGCATTTTTGAGAAAAATGTAACACGGTTTTGTGATCTGTGTTCATCTGTGCAAAGTAGGAAGGGACTCACTTTCCTTATCTGTTGGGTGCTTCTGTGGCAATGTTTGAGAAGCACCAGGCGGTAGGAGGAGCTTCCCAAGCAGAACGGCATTGCATTTGCTCAGCCACTTGAGGAGGACCTGGAGCAAGCTGGAACCTGTTGGCTGTAGTTGACCTGCAGACAGCCACAGGGGTGATTGGGCGTAAGTGGTGTTCTATTAACAGGTGCCACGGCATCCTGTGTATTCCCTGCCATCGAACATCTTCTCCAGGGCAGAGGGTCCTTGGAAGCTCAGGTTGGATGTTTCAGACAGAAACGAAGCTTTGCTGAGAGGCATGGGCCTCCAGTGTTCACTCTCTGTCCTGGGTCCTCTTCCCAGCCCGCAAACCCACCACCCCCTCCTCTCCTAGACAAGTGGGCATAAAAGCCAAGCTTTTGAGGGTGTCTTGCCTACCTTGTCCTAGGGAATTTGGATTTGTGGCTGATGGGACTGACTGTTGATGTATAAGCTGGGTGTTTTCTTGCTGGCTTGGACAGACACAAAGTGGGTGCCCCGAGTCTATCTTGGCACCCGGACCCAGTCAGCAGGTGACAAGTGCCATGGGAGGTAACGCTCCCTGCTTGGGTTGCCTTCCTTCTTTTCCCTGAGTTGGCTTTGGGCTGGCACCAACCGGCTCTTCCTGGGTGAGGCCCAGAGCCAGGCTGCCCGTGGTTCCTGGTGTCTGGCCTCTAGTCTGCAGCCTGGAGGGGCTGGGGCGCTGCCTGCCCAGCGGCGTGCAAGCTGCAACATCAGACGTTCACAAGGCCTCACCAGAGGCCGTCCATCTGGATGGTGGTGAGGGCTGATGGGAATGTTGGTCGCTTTGGGGAAGTCAGGTGCAGTGTCACAGGGAGAGTGGATACAAGAGCCATCAGCCCCATGTCAGCGTTTGTAAGTCATCCATGATGGGAGGGATTGGGGATATTTTAAATGTATTTTTAATCTCCCGTATTCATTCTTTGCAATAAGCCTAAAACCAAACTCAAAACATAGGCTTGAAACTGGTCAGTGGCTGAACTGGCCTTGGTTCTCCAAGCTTCCGGTCTGAGAGTCAGGGTCTCTGGCATTCGTCCAGTGTTGGCAGATGTCTGGAGGTGGTGGTGGTGTGTTCTGGGGAACGTGCTGAGGGAAACAGGTCCGACTTCTCTATTTGGTCTGCCAAAAACTTTCCGCAGGGAGGTGTTGATTTGCTTGTCTGTATTTTCCTGAAATGATGTAGACTTCTGATGGTGGTAGAGAGTGTAGAAAGTGCAGAGGGGAGGAGAGTATCCAGCTGAGGCAAGAGGGTTTGCTGTTGGTTTCTAATTTTTTTGTCCGAGTGTGTCTGCCTCTCTAGGACGTTAGGGGGCGCTCTGCCCAAATCCACAGTTGCAGAGTTTATGCATACCCCTGTTGGAGGTGATGAGATCTTCTCTTTTGAATGCACCACCAGCTAAGATTTTCTTGAAATAAATACTACAAAAGCAACCTTTTAAAATGGTCTTTAGTAAAACAACAATAACAACAAAAACATGCCAACAGGCAGAGCAGTTGGTTAATTTTACATTCTGTAAAATTATCATTCTGAACTGAAATAAAGCTACTTGTGTAAATAGCTTCGCTTTGGCTCAATCTTAAGAAGAAAGTGCACTAAGGGTATCTGTGGGCCAGTGTCTCCCTTCCTGCTTTCCTGTGAACATTCCCTGGAGAAGGAGAGCATTGAGAAGGGCGGATGTTTCCATAGCACTCAGGAAGCTTATGGGATGCCAGGGAAAAGGTCAGGTTCTCTGTATTGAGCGACCAGCTCTTGCTGCATACGTGCTGCCCAGATGTGAGATCATGGCTGTCATTTGGCTGAGTGTTCGTGTCATTCACCTCCCACCGCAGGCGGGTCCTCAAGCTGCTGTCCCACACTGCCAGCTATAGAGCCCTGGCCACAGGCAGACTCTTTGGTCTGTTGGGGCTTATGCCCTCCCACCCATCTCCCCGCTGTCATATACCCCTGTCCCATGGAGGGCGGTGACCCTTGCACGGTTTGGCTAAAGCAGGGGTTCTCAAACTTGTTCTGAGCCTGGAACCCTGCCGCGGTGGTGTGTCTGTGCCGGGAGCCTGCTGAGCTGGAGGCCGCGGTAACCTTAGTGGACAGGATCAGATCCATCTCAGCATCCAAGGGTGAGATGGAGTTTGTAGGAAGCACGACAAGTGGAGAAAACAGCATCACTGTCATTTTTGCTGAATTAGGAAAATCGTAAATTAGGAAAGCAGTTTTACTGACTTGAGACTAGAGACCCGTAGGGGGCGCCCAGGAGTGTTTGGCAGGAGTTGGGCTGGATGTGTGTGTGGTTGGAATTCCTGCTGCAACGGCGGGAGACAGGGCACCATTGTCATGTTTCCCCATGGTTACTTATTTCAGCTATAAGGCCGGAGCAGAATCATTTGGGATTTGACCTTCCTTTAGTTGGTAAACGGGTTTTTTAGAGCAGCTCTGTGTTTCACGGCAAAACTGAGCAGAAAGCACAGCCCGTATCCGTGCTGCCCCCCAGCCTCCCCCATATCCACACCCGCACTGCTTTGGTTTGCTGTGCTTATCCAGAGAGTAGAGAAGTCGGCCTCAGCACACGTTGCTTCCAAAAGCATGAACTTCATCACAGTAATGAATTCCAGAGCCATTGCATGTGATCGCACCTCAGATGTGGCCGGAAGGAATACAGCACGTGCAGACTTGATGTGCTCTCCTGTTGTGAGGTTGGCACTTGTATGGTTGTGCTATTATGTGGCTTAGTTACAAGACCAGTATGAGGCTCCCACCTGGCAGATGTGGAGACTAGCTACCAGGCCGTAGGATGCTGAGGAATCCTTGAGGGAATTTTAATTTATGGACATGGAGGGCGCCGGGGGCTCAGCTGGTGAAGCGTGGACTCTCGGTTTTGGCTCAGGTCATCATCTTGGGGTCCTGCGATCAAGCCCCACTTTGGGCTCCACGCTCAGCACAGAGCTTGAGATTATCTCTTCCTCTGCCCCTCCCCTTGCTCACATGCACCCTGTCTCTCTCAAATAAATGAATCTTTTTAAAAAAATGAAATGATCAAATAATCAGATTACAGACATTGGGGGCTTCATCCGTAGACCATGTGACTCTTGATCTCAGCATTGTGAGTTCAGGCCCCATGTTGGGCATAAACAATACGTTAAAAAAATTACAAACATGTTACTCTCAA